CCCCTTCAGCGAAATATCCTCTGCTAGCGACCCATGAACACAGAAATGAAAACTTCGCAGGAAACATAGTGCTCACTTCAAAAATTGCTACAGAGATAAAGCTTTTGTTCACATAACGCAAAAATAACACTCCCAAGCTTCATAATCGTGAAATTCAATTATGAAGGAAATCAGACTGAAATATTTCATTTATTGCCTTATGAAATATTGATTTTGTTTCTAAATCTTCCAAAATTTTAATCTGGAAACATGATCAAATAGAAGCGATTCAGTAACTTGAATAGCCTATTATCACAACGTGCAATTTTTTTACTCGAACGGAAAATATATAAAAAAGAAAGTGGTAGTACACAGGACTAATAAGGAGCCTGAATGAATCGACTTTCTCACTGATACCCTAATAAAGAGATAGCGTGTTTGGATCAGAAGGGAAAAAATACAACAGACTAAGCAAATATTTCGACCACAACGCCAACAAAAGGTTTTTGCGACCCTAATTATCGATAAAAAGTCGTAGCGCAATTTGAACATTTATTTATAACTCTAATTAACTGGATGTGTTTTAGTTTTGATGACATAAATCTATTTTATTTCACTTTTAATATGTCAGAATTACGAAAAGCAGAACTTTATCGAACTAAATTTGGAAAAAATGATAATAAAAGCAGATTGATGATTCATTTTTCTGATACTAAAAATGTAATATCTGATTAGTACAGTTAGTAGTCACTAAAATGTTTTTATCAAAGCTTGCATTCAATCCGCAGTGACAATAAATTTATGTTATCTACTGTTAATAGAGTGCATCGGAGAATTTATAGTTTGAAGGCAGATAAATGCAAAATACATTAATCAATAGTAGGGCCATTCGGGTATTTGCAAAATAAGGTTTTTAGGTAACTTCAAGGATGAAATATGGTTTGGTGACAATCTTCAATTTATTTATGTAATGATCTTGCAAGGGTGTAGATATAACGCTAAGAACATGTTAATGTTCATCTTATTATGGATCACCCAACATGTATTATATCCGAGAAGAATAACTTACAGGTCAAGTCCTTCCTAATACATATTGATTAAGTCAATATTGTACAACAGCCACGCGTTTAAGATCAATACTGTCACTTTAACCCCCAAGACTACTAAAATATTTCTTAAAGATCTCAGTTAACATTCTTTTATGCCCGGCACGTTTTTCTGACCGATTGCCAACTAAATAATTGTGGGATATGATGAATAGCAAAGTGAGCAATTTATTACACTAAATCCCTGAAATCTTGGAGGAGATTTGATATTAGCTTGGGATAGCTTGAGATGAGATATTTTGACAAATTATTCTCGAGTTTTGGTAAATTTCAAGATAAAGGCAGTGCCTCTAAACATCTCTAATTCGAATATTATGAAAAAGATATATATTTGGTGAAACGAAACACGGTTTTAATGGATCTGTTGCTTATACCACTTTGATAATCAGTAAACAGGTGTCAACAGTGTAATGGATAAGTTGCGTAGGAAGTTCACACTACCATACTTTACTAACACATTGAAAAACAAGTTTCACAACGATACTGAGCGTCAAAAAAGGAAAAAATCGATTTTTCTACAAAATCTAATTTGTAATTTGGTAAAATTCAGTCAAGTTATAAAACTGAGTTTCTTATTGTGGATGTATTTTAAATTAGCAATTTTCTTGGGGTAGTTAGGTCGCGCAAATGAATAAAAGTTTATTATGGTTGCAATAAGTCGTTTCCGCGAATCGCTGTACTTGACGTGAAGTAAAAGACTGACGGAGTGGCATTTTAAGGGAAAATGGTTCACAGTTTAGTACAACGTATGTAGAATTATTGGCCATAAGAAAACATATTGCAATTGGTTGCAGCTGTCGTGGCCAGTAACTTGATAATTCATCACAATTTCCTCGTCGATTGCTACTTTAAACTCTAATCAGACACCGACGATAAATTGATTTTCTCAAGTTTTACTCAACTGCACGAATAATTACTAATTAGGTACTCGGCGCCACAATTTACTTCATGTTTGTTTTTACGCTATTGATTGAAGTTTGCTTAGTAACCAGTAGAAATTTCAACAAAGCTGCTTTTTCGAAAGATAATTGATAGTGATAGTGGCTAATGAAATTTTGTTAGAAAGGTACTACAAATTACATAGCGATGTGATATAGTTTCCCAACGGCCGGATTACTATTATCTCGTGATATAATAACAACACGGATTACGCCATTGTGGTTATACATAGTCGAGTTTAGGATAGTTTCAGAACCCTTTACATAATACAGTGAATAATTATTTGCTCCTAAGATACTTTTTGGATTTGATGAAGTCTCGAGACCAGTCGAATTTATACGTTTTCAATATTGAACTAGGTTAGAAACTAATATAGGTTCCACTGCTTTCGTATTATATAAGCGATTAAATTTATTATTCCGTATACTTAGTTGCTTCACAGGTGTCACAAACAGCGCACGAAATGTTCGAAATCAATTTTCCGAAAGTACCCTAACTATCTGAAAATTGTTCGGCAAATAGTATTTCAGTGCTTAACATACAAATTAAATATGTATTTACTTTCGCTCCCGGTTGTTTTTATGAATAATTAGCGACATTAGCTCTGTCGGCGGCTGTACATTTAAATTAATATTATTTAAATACAATTTATAAAATAATGCTGCTACAAACTTGTTCCCAATATTGCCTGAACATTACATTTATCTGAAACATGACTTTACTATTACTGCGTCACCGCTCGGGCAATTTTCTAACACTATATAAAAAATGAATAAGTTATTGAACCTTTTGTTATCCTTGATTGTGTAACAGATTTATTCAATAATGTTAGATATTTCTATACAAAATAGTTTTTCGAGGTGTCGGAAACCGATTTTTGGTGATATCAAGACGATTATTATACCACCCAAGAGAACCTACTACCGAATCACTCTATAAAATGTCAATCAACTTGACTGATGAAGTATATCAATTCCAATCAGTAGATATATGATATATTTCTTGTAGCGGCAAAATTTTTCACACTATTTTCCAAGATTTAATGCATGTAGGTAGAACTGGCGTGAAGACGAGATCCAACTATTTTCTTTGTTCAAATCCCTTGCGTGTAATAATGTCAACAACATACGTAACCAACTTTAAAACTTACGCGTGTTATTTTTATAGCTTTTTAAAATGTTTTATTGTAAGAACATTCATCTGAAAGTTTGGAGATATATTGCAGTCATGTATACATTTTTATTTTACATTTGCGTTTTAATTGTGATGCTTGGGCATGAAAACAATTTCCAAGTCGTACCAAAATTTTCCCTGAAACATTTAAGAAGCAATTAATTTGGTTAAGCACTGAGATAAGTAGAGTAAAGGGTGCTTTGTATAATAGAGACAACATGAATGCTATAAAATAACCGTAGATGGCCGGCCGTATATAGACACTCTCTCGACTATTTTGTCGTCAACAAGTCTAAAAATGTCACAAGCACTCTTATTTTTTGTGAAATTGAGTCTTCAAGATGTCTTGTTAAACTTAGAGAATAAATATCGTCTTTTACAAATATTTCTTTTTGTTCTTGGTTTGGGTGACATTAAATATATCAAAGAAAAACACCCAGGGATGCGTTTACTGCAATTTAAGTTGTAGAAAATTGCTTGTAAAACGAACAAAACAATGAGCGTTGTTTAAATTTGTTTTTTTTCTCTGTAATTCAGAGCAAGGAAAATGTATTTGAAAATGTCTTTCAAGAGGAGCGTAGATTGCGGAAAGAAGTGGATCGATTTACATGCTTTTATTGATGGCCATCATCGTCCAAAGCTGAAGGCAGCGCTCCAATTCGAGGGAAAATCCGACAGAGAGAAGTATTTTGATGCATTAAACTTTTGCCTAGTTCTCTCAACAATAATTGCACAATTTCTAAAGTGTTATAAACACCCTGAAAATTTACTCTAGGAACGTGTATAACACGATTCATAATGCGATTGTCTCCACGTTTGATTTAAAGTTATTTGAAACCATAGCAAAACATTACAACGATGGCAATGTTAGATACCTAGTTTTTCAATCGAAAACTTGGAACGGTCAGTCTAGAACACTTTGCTCTTCGATTTCTTGTTTTTTACTTAAGAGCTTTCAGCTCATAACATTAATTTAGAAGGGCTTTCCGGCAATTAGTGGAGGAAAACAGTTTCTTACATACATACTACTTCAACTACTTCTTCCATAAAGAAAGCGGTAATTATCACTCACTTAGAACCGCCTTGCTTATTTTCATGTAGGTATTTGCTAAATGTTAAAATGTCACAAAAATAGTCTCGGCCAAACATTTGCTATCTCCTCCACAATTTCCATTTATGCAAAACATTTTATCTGATACTAATTCAATTAAACAGCGATTTGTTTAAAGATACTAACATAATATTATTAATTAATTTGCGTGTTCAGATTATAACAGAAAGTGAAACTGTTTGGAGACAGAGTGAAACAATAAAGTTTACTGGTGTTATCCCATTATTGACTTGAAGATGATTATTGCAGTGTCCACATAAAGGCCAGTTTTAGAGCAGAATAACACGTATTATGTCATAGTTTGCCAGTGTAAATTGGGTTTTAACACCTAGATAATGGTAAGGTTATGTTGTCATAACTTTGATACCTGTCATTTGATTATTAGGCCAACTATGTGTACAAACTCTACCTTAATATTTTAAAAAATAAACATTGACAATACAGAAACAGTTTGTATAGCATAAGTAAATAAGATACTCCAGACATAAATAAATATATTCCAGCTGGCGGGCACAGAGAGGGCAATGATAAAGCATATATCCTCACCAACGTTGGACCCCGAACCAATCTGGTGTATAATAAAATATGAATTGGGTGTTTACCGAAATAACTTCTTATTGCAAAAGTTGAAGCAATATTTAATTTAAAAAAATGTCGACTAAAAATTGCAAAAAGTTATGTTTATAACTCACCTGATGCCTTCGAAGTGACAAACACCCCACAAAGGAAAAGCATTACGGCCGCCTTTATAGCAACACGCACCATTTTCATTATCAACTGGTGAATTATTCAGTAACCATCCCCCCACCCTTATGCATCCTGAAACAAAGAAGATTTAATTAATCACTAGTCGGAATCACTTTTTAAAATAATAATTTTAAATTTATGCCACTGCCGTATATTCTAAAACAACCTCCTTTATAAATAATGTATAAGATAATTACAAATTGGGTAATAAGAACGCTCTTCTTGTTCAAGGACTACGAATTTTACAGCTTGCTTTGACGCTTTAAAAACTTTCTGTCTCAAATAATGATTAAAGTGCCACATTTACTCTCTTGCTGTTTAGTTATTGGTGTTCGAAATTTTAAAACGTAAGTTGATAACTGGTCATTAAGTAATTTGTCATTCATTAGGTTCAATCTTTGCTTGTCGTGATCTGGATTAAACCTCCTAGAAACGAGTACAGTGTAAGTTTGCTCTAATTATAACTCTCTAAAGAGAATCTCAAATGAATTTTATTACTTTTAAATGTACAAGAATTGCAGAAAGCAATCTTTCATTCAACGAAGTAACGAAATTTATTTCTTCCTGGACAGGAACACAATGACCAGTCGTGTTTTAAGAATCAGAGTTTACGGCTTGGTTACTTTTGTTGTATCGTTTCTCACAGCAGGTATCCAAAGAAAGAAACTAGAAAACGAAACTATCTGCGAAAACACATTTTCTAGAAACACTGACACAATGTATGTTCAATCGTAATAATAACATATAGAGTCAAATACACGCATAGGATTCTCTTGCAGGCTGTAAAATAAGTTGAAATCCCACATAAAGTATAGAAGCTATATGGGTTCTTCCACCTGCTTAGTATTATACAAATTTATTTCAAATTCGAGGACGTAAAACTTCGAGGTTTACATATAGCTTTACGCTTTTCCCAACATTTTTAATCATTGAATGGACAGTATGAATCAACAAAAAGGCGGACAAATTCATATTACTTTATTAGGCAGTAGCAAAAAATTGTTTAGCTTTCACAAACACATTCTTGCAGACCATTTGTAGAATTTAATTAGAGCTAGTAGGCCTAATACATTACGACCTTTCGTTTTTCTCCAAGTTTGGGCCTGTAATTCCACTGAAAATATTTTTTAGGTTCACGTATCCAAACTTCCACACAGTTAAAGAAATAACCAATTAGTCCAACTGTTGTGATAATTATTTCCTAATTCCGTAGTTTGAAAAGTTCCAGCGATATTTATTTCATTAAAAACGATAATGGAAGTTGACTCGTTCCCATATATATTTCAAGGCGTTTTCTCATCATGGCCTCTTTACCTGTGTCTACGATAATTGATGGAGGATTTATTCAAATTTATTTCAACGCTTTTCCACGCACAGATAATCTACTTTGCATATGTGTAAAATGCGATTTATTTTCTTTCCAATTCTATGACGCTCGAGTTCTATCCATATCTGCATGACTAAAATTTACTTACAGCTTTTACTTATTCATGCAATAAATACATTTACAGAAACAAATGTACAGAAAAGACTATTATGTTGAAACGGGGGTCGTGAAAGAAAAAAAATACATTCTGATGTAAAAGTTTTAGGTTTCAAATAACTTCGCAAGAAGTTTGCATTTTTATAGTTCATTAAAGATGGTTGAAATTTATAACATACTAAATATGATGCAACTTTTAAACATTTTGGTATAACAAACTTAGATTTCTTATGTTTATCGTAAAATGTTTTAATATTAAAAAGTTTACTTTTACATGCTTTCCTGCTTACCTATTTATACTTCAACGGTATAAACTTACAAGGTCACAGATTAAAGCCATTCAAAGAAAAATTTATTTCACATTTTAGACCTGAATGGCTTCACTTTAATTAAAAATTTGAGGTGCCTGACAAAAGCAAGTTTTAAACTCCGGATAATACGATAAGCAAAAATTTTTTGAGTCATTTATTGTAACATTACGGTTTAACTTTCAACAGTTGCGTGCGGTGGAATTTCAGAAATGTTTTACTCACATATTTTCATGCACCATATAATTTATCACAATACGCAGACACTGAAATTATTTATTTATTTTGTCAAGAAATAATTTCCGGTTCATTATTATTAAATTCAATAAAGCAAAATGTTTGCAACTCTTAGACGCTTGAGAAAATCTTATATTATCTCTCCAGCACCTGTTGGAGAATTTCTTGCATGAGTGGAGAGGTTTCACTTATCTCGCAAAGATATATCTTCAGTGATAAAGGGGATTATGTCATGGTAGACCTTTTTTCAGATTTTTAAATATAATTTACATTAGAAATACAATTTTGTATCTAATCAAGTATAAAGCCTGTAATTCGGCTTATTTGGGGCTCATAATAGGTGGTGTGAGAAGCAATCAGTAGGAGGGTTCAAATAATGTTTTAGTTAATTATTCACGGAAATTCCCTAATATAACAAACATGATTGGGATTATTTGTCGATACCTAAACTGGGGTCGAACCGATTAACGGAAATCGATTAATGGGGTGAATTTTTCTCCATAATTGTAAAATAGGCAGGCAGCACTCGCAAAAGAGATAAAAGCAGGAAGACATTTGACTTGAATGTTGGGTAAAGTCGACGCCAGAATGTATAAGCATCTAAATATACATATAGCCGTACGTCGTAAGTTTCTTCATTGATAACATATCCTTATTGTAAATTTGGTGGCCCAAAAATTCACAACCAATCTACAACATGGCAGAAAACATAATGTCTGGAAGTATAAATATTCTCGCAAGTGCAATTATTTCTTCGGATCACCTCGTTCCTACAGTATTGAAACCTTAACAACTCTTATCTAAAATATAAGGTTGGGTTTATCTTAGAGGTGATTGAGAAAGGTCGTGATAGGGGATTCGCCGCAATGACTCACCTTGTCGGTTTATATCTTTCTCATCCTTTTACCAACTTCTCTGTTAAAGTACACACAATCCCCGGACAAACATCACATACTCAAAAGCGTCAATCATTAGACGTTATCGAGAAACCTTTGAAACGCAACACAACAACAAAGGTGAAATTCTAAGTTTTTTTTTGAAAAGTTGCTAGAGTTGTGTCAGTTATTAGAATACCGGAACGGGCGGAAAAGAGAAGAGTGAGAGAACTGCTATAGTTCTGAACAGGATTGCTGTTCTAGTTTGAGAAAAGTTCTCCAATCAAATCGATTGTACGCCATAATTTAGAACGTAGTTGTAAGAGGTATAACAGTGTTTCACAGCTATTTATCCAGAACAATTTTTGAACAATTACGATGCTAACCGACACGCAAACGTTAATTGAGAACTAAAAAGCAGCTAGTTTTCTATTTCTTGCTTTCATTCAAAAAATTCAAATGCTCACGCAATTACGAACTACTCCCAACATAATAGACGATTTATCTTTATGATAATTTCATTTATAAAATGAATTCCTTTTTACTTTATTTATTAATGTTTGAAGAAGTTTGAAATTGTCTCCGGGAGTTGTTAAAGTTTGTGACTAAAATCACATCACTAATATTATAAATCATAAATCACACTTACTGCAGTAATCTCAAACTGTAATATGCGGTACTCTATTAGGTAATAGAACAATTTTCTTACGAATTCCAAGAGCAAGATTAATTTAATCGTATAATGTCTGAAGCCGTGTTAAGTGAGATTTCTGAGGGAATTCTCTAAAACGCTGCACTTAGAAAAGTGTTTTAAATTAGCAAAGTTTTGCCATAGGTGAAGTCGTAAATATTTATTTAATGAGACAACAGTAATAATGTGAATTTAAGTAGCGTGGCGTGCGAGCAAAGTACTTTTAAAAGTATTTCTAATGTTGGAACATTTTGGGATTGACACATCAAGAATATCATTTTTATTGTTGAGCCGGGATAAAGCGATTTGTGGAGGTGAAAGAACCGAATCTATTCACACATATTTCGGGATTATCTTTTACGAGTAGGTACGCTCATAGTGTATAAATTTTCTTTACAAGGTAAGAAAGTTGTTCAAGCTTTTGTAGTTAGCTTTCTTTGGGATAAGGCTGTCACCTTTTGAATGCTTGATGTTGCATATTTGCAGTTTCATCCTTGAAAACTTCTGTGATATTACAGGAGACATGCCGAGCGTAATACGTATTCCACATATTTTGTAATTTAGGAAAACTTATCTTATATCTGAATTTAAAGTTTGATGAGTGTGCAGGTGACCAACATTTAATAAACTCACGTGCTAAATTTCCGTAAACATCTCATTATATTTCTTAATAAATGTTTAATAGAACAATGGACGCAGATCAGGGGACCGTCAGTGAAAATACCTTCCAAAACTCTCCTTTTAATTATGCTAAATTACTTAATTCGCGTTTGTCTAATTTACTTATAGGAGCTTAATTATAATTACACAGACACATGAGACTTTTTATTTCATTTTGCGTATACCCCAGTTAAACTGGCTGCTAGAAATAACGTCAGGACGACGGGATAACAACTTGAAAATCTCACGCCTTTCATCTCCCAGTTGTTTAGACGCGCCAAATCAACAAGAATAAGATTTTTGATTGGATTTAATTAAATATTGTTTGTGCTTTATTGAATAAAAGTTAATGCGGCATTAAGTACCTAACATTTTAACTTTTGTATTTGTATTTCTCACTTTAGATGATACTTTTTTAATTTAGTTAACCGCTTTGCTGCGCTGCTGGTAATAAAAGCCACATGATTTATTATCCGACTTTATGACAACACGGTGGTCCTTATAGCCAATTAATTTTTTTAATCAGTTTTAATGCTAATAAATGAGAAAAAGATTTAGGGACATCAACATTATTAACATCACTACAATTTATTATATACTATTTATTTAGTATTGAACTTGTTTTTTCATTCAAATTTAGCTATAAATGTATTTTTATTTGGTGGTAATGCCCCATTGTGTAGGCGTGAGCAAAACGCCTATAAATTTAAAAATCATAGGAAAATATATGTTATTTGCGGTTATCCAATCGTTGCGGTGCCGCGTTCACATTTTGCCATTAATTTAGTAAAAACGTTTGCGTTAGATATTTTATAAAT